AAAAAAAAAAAAAAAAAAAAAGCCAGGCAAGTATAGGTGCTCAGTAAGTATTGACTGTGTCTATACTGCCCGCCTCAGGGGCTGGAGGGGAGGCCGTGGGGGGAGACAGAAGGGATGGGAGAAGCTGCAAGGTGGGTGTCAGGGTTGGCTCTAGTGGAGGCTGGTGACAGAGGGACCTGGACTAGCCCTGAGGCAACTGTTCATCTTCTGCTTGGCCAGGTCCAGATGGGGGTCCTTGAGGCCCCTCTTCCTCCCTCCTAGCCACGGGACTGCCCCAGCTGCAGGGTTTCCGTTCAGTTCTGTCCCTGAGGGCCTCAGGCGTGCAGTACCTAGGGCTGGGGACTGGGCAGGCGCAGCTGCTAAAGGAAGCCTGCGGTTGGAACAAGGCGGGTGGGGGGTGTCTTGGGGGAGGGGTGCTAAGGTGCAATCAAGAGCCTTTTTTCACCTCCCAGGCTGTCTACCCAGGCTCCAGGCATGAGTAGGAGCTATACCCAGGTTCCAGCTCCTGAGAGGCGCAGGTGAGGGTCTACGAAGGGAGTCAGGCCTGGAGTGCGTGCTGGGGGTCACACCCCAAGGCCCAGAGAGCCCAGCTCTGAGGTGAAGAGAGAAAGGCTGCTACCCTACACTTTTCCTGGTCTCACCTCTGCCCAGGGGCAGTGTCGGGGGGTCCTTCCTCATCTTGGTGTCCTTGGTGCCATCATCCCATCCCTCCTGTGACCCCTACCCCAAGAACCCAGCAAGCTCCCACTCTTACCATTGGTCCACTGGCCTTTCTGCGCTGGGCGCCCACCTCCAGCTCCGGCTTAGTGTAGGGCAAGGAGTGAGTTCTTGTGCTTTCAACTGCAGCTGGGGGTTACCCGACACGCTTCCGCTTCCTGCCCACAAAACCCCACCCACTTGTCCCTACCATGGGACCCTGAGAGGGGCCTTGGCCTCGCAGGAACATCCTGACCATGCCAAATCCTCACAGATCTCTTTCTGGATGAGGCTGGGACTGTGGGGCCTGTATCCACACCTCCACGGGGAAGACCTGGGCACCCAGCTCAAAGCAGGTCATGGCTGTGGAGGTGTCCACAAGTCTGCCTCAGTTCCCGTCTGAAGAATTCAGTAGCGCAAAGACAAGGCTGTTCATGGCCCCCAGACTCATATCTGTGACCTCTGCAGCCTTATCTGTGCCCCGGCTTCCAGACTTCCTTTCCCAGCCCCTTGGGTAGCAGCAGGTCAAACCTGGCTTTAGAAAGAGAATTTTATTTGGAATGAAAATATAGAGCCCATTCCTCCTGCCTCCCCTGGGGCTGGAGCGGAGGGCTGGTGGGGGGAGTGGGGGTGGTCCTTCAGAGTACAAGTGAGCTTGCCTTGGTATAAAATCCTCCACAGTAACAAATGACGAAAGCCAGGTGGGGCTCCAGCATTGGTCCCAGGACGGGTCAGGGGTGAAGTAGCCCTTGACCTTTCCCAGAGGCGCAGCCCGCCAAAAGAAGCTGAGTAAGAGGGGAAGGAGGTGGCGGCAGTGGTGGTGAGGGACCCTGGGAAGGGCTCCTATGCATCCCCGTTCTCCATGCGGCCCAGCTGCTCCTCCAAGCGGCCAATGCGCTCCCCCTGCTCCTTGACCAGTGCCCTCAGTGCTCGCAGCTCCTGCATCACCTCCTCCAGCTTCCCAGCCTCCTGCAAAGTCATCGGGGGTCAGGGGTTGCCCAGCCACAGCCCTCCCCAAACCAACCGCTGAGGCCTGAGGCACAGAGAGGGGCACTAAATGTCCCAGGCACACACAGCAGCCAGGGCCATTCCCAGGCTTCTCAGCACCATCCCTGATTCGGAGGTACATACCCTGGCTCCGGGGAGGCTGCTGCTAGGGGTGGTGTCAGCAACAGGGGCCGTGGGTGTAGAGGCCCCTGGGCGGGCAGAGCTTGGGGCCACAGCAGGCCGGCTGTCAGATAATACGTTGCGCCGGCTGACCTTCAGATCCCGCTGTTTGCTGGGCACATAGGCCTCCCGCAGTGAGATGAGGATGGGGTCAGCGTCCCGTCCGCTCACCCACTCCTCTGCTTCTAGGGCCGCCTCAGGCCCAGCTGTGTCAGGGTACAGGTCATCCTGGAAGAGGTCCGACTGCACAGGGAGTTGGGGAGGTCAGGATCAATCAGCCCCATTTCCCCATCAGGATCCTTTCCCGTGGATCCTGGATGGCTACCTTCTCATCTCCTGCCTGGCATTCGGGCTTGCGATCTGTCAGCCCATTCTCTAGTGGCCTGGTCCCCAGTGACCTTAAAGCTCAAATCTGTCCTTTCACTTCCCTCTGGACACTGCCATCAACTTCCTCTGAAGCCTTCCCCTATGTTCCCTGTATCACCCTCCCCTGCAAGGCACAAGGGTAAGCCATGTGGCTTTGTGGGACTTTGTGGCCATATTTGTGTCCCCTGAACTGAGCTCTTAGGACAGGTTCTATCAACCTCATTCTCAGCTTTACCCACTAGGATGTGCCTGGCACTCGAATGGAGGGTTCGGTAAACACTCCCTGGAGAGCAGTACAGGTGTCAGGGCTCTTGGCTGGGCATCTGCAGCCAAGCCACAAGTGGCCCGGTCCTCCCCCATGGGACCCTCCATGCAGCCACTCCTCTCATTCTCACCTCTATGCCCTGTGCTTGGCCTTCCTCCCACTGGATGGCACCACCCTAGCCATACTATTGGGTCTGCCTCCTACAGGAAGAACTTGACTGCCACTGTCTGACCCTGGCCTGTCTCTTGTGGCTCATCCAGGGGAGTTCCTCCACTCACCCCATCTTATCCCTGCTTGCCCTCCACCCAGCATGGCCTGACCTCTGGTTAGGTACAAGGGGGTGCTGGCATCTGTCCAGCCCACTGATCACACCCCACACTTGGTCACATCCTCTCCACTGACCTTACCCAGGTTACTCTTGTGTAGCCTCTCTGCTAGAAAAGGGAACAGGGGAGGGACCAGCAGTTAGTGTAATAGCTATGTCACTGGACTCCCATTTGGTTGACCATGGTTCGAGTCCTAGACCTGGTGGCTTAAACTCATGCTGGGCGCATGTGCGTGTGTGCCCAGGATCCCAAGAGAAGAGGAGAATGGAGAAGGGATCGCAGTGTGGCCATCCCCCCCTGTGGGGTGATTTCTCGCTTTCTGTCTCTGCCTCTCTCTGTTTTTCTGGCAAGTGCATGTGCCCTATAGCAAAAACCTCTCCAAATAAAAAAAAGAAAAGGGAACAGGGAAACTGGGTGGCCTCACCTTTCTTGGCACAGTCATGACAATGGGTTCGCACTTGCGCTCATGCAGTTTATAGAACCTGGGAAAGGGACGAAAGGGCTATGAGTGGACCCACCCTCAGCTCTCCTGGCTCTCTCCACCTTCCACTTCCACCCCACCCCAGGCTCTCCTCCAGGCCAACCCCAAGGCCCCTAGGACTTTCACACTTGTGACTTGCTCTCACGGCCTCCTGACTTGGGTTCCTACAGGCTGAACCCCCATCCCTGAGTTCCCTGTGGCACACTTTCCTGAGGAGCCTCTGTGACCTGACCTCTCACCTTGGACGTCCATGGCCTCAGGCCATCCCACCCCTAGCCTAGTCTTGTCCCTGAGCTGAGCTCCACTTACAGACAGCCTCCTTGGTGCCCCTCTTACCGGGCAATCTCACACTTGCTGACCTCCAAGCCTCTCTTGGGCATGCTGCCCATGCCCCTCTGGGGCTCCTTGCTGGTGAACGTGTTCAGGAAATGGATGTAGGGGGGCTCATCTGTGATTTCAAAGTACCGGATGCTGGAGTCGCCCTGTGGAGGGAGGGAGCTCAGCACTCAGGCATCCCTCCTTCCTGCCCCGGCCAGTCCTGCCCACACCTACCTTGCCACAGATGTAGACCATGCTGGTGTCGGCATCGTAGAAAGGCAGCAGGGCCCCGTTGCTTGAGTCCAGCTCCTGCAGGGCCATGGGCTCTTCAAAGTTCTCCTGACACATGGAGGGGGCCATCAGGCCAAGCAGGAATCCTTCCCTGTCCCAACATCCATCACGCCTGGTCTGACCTGACTTCACATGCAAGCTAGCGCTGCCCCCTAATATGCTGTGAACTTCTCCACCTCTGTACTCTGCCCATGTGGTGTGTCCCACCAGGCCTCCTAGCTCTTCTGTACCCCAAGGGTACCACTTTCCCAACCTCCTCTAGGCCTCAAGACTCCCAGCACACAGAGCAAGTGCTAAGAAATCTCTACTGCAGGGAGCCTGAGGTACCAGGCAGCACCCATTCCTGCCTCAGAGGGGCTCTGGGGAGAAGGGCTGCAGGTCAGACAGCTACAGGTCAAAGGCTGGAAGGCTTACGAGGGGAGGAGCCTCTGCACCGGGCCTTGAACTGTGGCTGGCAGTACAGGCGAAGCAAGGAGGGAAGGGCCTTACAGTTGGCAGGAACAATGTGGGTGAAGACATGGAGGTAGTGGGAGGCAACGAGGGAGTGTCAGAGAGGACGGGTACAGGGAGAGAGAAGGCTGGCCAGGCCCCAGGTTTTAAGAGCAAGTGTTGGGCTAAGAACCTGGGAGCCACAGGCCTAGCCAGGGTGACCCCAGCCTGCCTAGGTCAGGAGTCTCGAGCCTGTTCGCTCAGGATGGCCACCACCACTCACTGGGTCCCAGAGCGCCAGTTGCCGCTCGCTCATGCGGCTGAAGCCTGTGGTGAACACCTTGCCATCTGCCAGGAAGATGGCCCGCATGGGCCGGGCACCCTCGTGAGCCTTCTCGCGCTCCTGCAGAGAGACAGACTGGTCAGTGCAGTGCCCAATCAGGCCTCTGGACCTGTCCACTGCCATCCATGCCCACCAGGGCCACGTACTGCCACCAGAGTGCCCCGGCGGGGGTCGATGATGCGCACGCTCTTGTCCTTGCAAGCTGAGCAAAAGAGGCTCCCGTTGCGGTTCCAGCTGACATTGTAGATGAGGTCAGGGTGCAGGCTGTCCAGACGGTACAGCTCCTCGGCTGTGCCCACATTCCAAATGAGCACCACGTTGTCGCAGCCTGGTGGATGGGGGTCATTGGTTTAGGCCCAGGTAGGCCATAGCAGGTTGTCAGCCCACCAGGCCCACTTTGCCCCTCTGGGACTAGGCTGGGCCTCTTGACTCTGCAGGCCTCAGTTCTCCCATCTGTCAGATGGGCCTAGGAGAGGCTGCTGGGATGTTTGAGCCATGTATGGAGAGAGGCATGGGGGGCAGGGTGGGGAGAATGAGGGGGGCCGTGCAGACCTGCACTGAGCAGCACGTTTCGGGCTGTCGGGTGCCAGGTGACGATGCCCACTCGCTTGGTGTGCCCCTCTAGCACCACCACTGGCTCTGTCAGCGGGGAGGCCAGCCCGTTCTCCGGGATCTGCCACACCTGTGATAGGCAGGGGTAGGGACGCCGGGCTGAGGCCTCTGCTTGCCCCCGGTGCCAACAGCCTTGAGCCATACCCAGGAGTGCGGCCCAACCAATCCTCACCATGACTGTGCAGTCCTCGGAGCCACTGGCGATGACTTCGTCATTGTGGGGACACCAGTCAATGTCCAGCACAGGTCCTGTGTGCCCACACACTGTTGGGTAGGCCTTGTCAATGCGGCCTGTCTGTGAGCATGAGGGGGCAGTCAGAAGGGACCGAAGAGCCCTACGCTCCATCCCTCCCAGAGCCTCAGTCTTCCCTCCACTGAGTGGCAATGATGTGCTTGGCCCCGGCCAGCAAGGGCCCAGATGTGATCGCCCCACCCACCGGGTGAGCAGGAAATGTTCATGGCCTCTGACCCTGACTCGGTGGCAATAAAACGCTTTCTCCTTCTGTGCTAACACCTCGTGGGCAGTAAATCTGCACTGTGACACCTGCCCAGCAGTATAGGGGTGGACACGATAAGGGATGTGAGGTGTGCAGGAAGGCTCAGCAGGTGTGGCCCAGGCACTTCTAGTGCTTCTCCCAGCCCTGACGGGGCCTACCTTGCCTAGCGGAAGCACCAGAAAGGCACCCCCGCCACTGGCCTCCACAATCACTGCCAGGAACTTGGGGTTGGCTGCGCAGAAGGTGCTGTCCCAGGTGACACGGGACACTCGAATGTCTTCATAGCACTGGTCATTCTTGACCGGCTGCCCGAACACATGCCGGAATTTGCTCTGCCGGACCACTTTACGGAAGGACATGTCTGCAGTGCAGAAGGGCCTGGATTAACTCAGCCCATCCCAACAACCCCTGGCCCTCCCAGGGTGCAGGAAAGGAAAGGGGCAAGATGCAACTGAAGACCGGGTAATTATAACCCACCTGGGTCTCAGTTTCCCGGGTTACAGAATGGGATCACAGGGGCAGACCCTGGCTGTCTCCCAGGCAGTGATCTGAGGGTAAATACACTACTCCCAGCCCCATGGCTGCTGAGGTCTGAGGGGCTTGCAGGTCTCAACCCTGGCCCCTTGCTGGCTCCAGTATGGGGGCGGGCAGGAAGTGGGAAGTGCCCAAGCCAGAGCAAGCTTAGCTCTTCTATAGGTCCCAGCCAGTTGAAAGCAGCCTCTTTCCTGGCCAGGGATTTGGAGGCTGGGTGATGGATGGGGAGAAAAGACAAAAGGAGGCAGGAAAGGTCTCCCCACTGATGAGTCGCACTAGGCCCCAGTTCTGAGTCCCGGGAAAGCCTAGGGAGCTGCAGGAAGACCCAGGCCGGCCCAAGGGGGCTGGCAGGACTGGACGGAGGTCGGGACGCCATTGCCAGGCCTGCAGTATCCCAAAGCGACCTAGGAGTGCAGTTCAAGGTGAACGAGGAACCCAACTTCCAGGGACCCCGACCCAGAGGGGAAAGGCTGGGCAGCCAAGTGGAGTTGGGACTGACGGTGAGTACGGTGGGAAAAAAAGCTCCTCGGATTCGCAACCCCCACCCTGGTTCCCTGAAGCTTCGCCCGCGCAATCCCGCCCAGCCCCTGCCCGCGCCCCCAAGTCCCGGCCTCGCCGCGCCCCCCGGGGGCGCCAGGGGCTGCAGCACCAGCCTCGGGCGGCTCCGGATCCCGGCCTCTGGGAAGCAGGAAGCGGGAATCAGGAAGTGACAGAGGAGGGGCGGGGCGGGAGGCTGGGCGCTGCGCTTGGAGCCGCGAGCGAGGGGCACCAGGAGTGGGGTCTGGGCAGGGCCAAGGGGAGTGTAGTCCCGCAAGGACCCGGGGTTAGGAAGCTTCACCTAAAGTGATGAGAAGTCCCTCGGAGGGAAAGGGACTGGGTGGGGTCTAGGCCGCAGGCACCGGTGCAGCCTGACCTCGAATCCCCGGCCCCTTTTCCGTCCTGCTTCCCATTCAGCATCCATAGGTGTGCCCCGCCCTCCGGATCCCCCACCTGATTGCAAATCTCCAAGGAACACTCCCTCGGCCCACCCCCACCCCCGCCCAAGCTGCGCCATTCCAAAATGTAGTTTGTACATGGACAGTTCATATATTTACATGCCTCTTTTTAAGTTATAAAAGTTCATGCTCTTGGTTAACAATGTAAACGAAATAGTGTTTTAAGGAGTGCCCAAGGCCCAGACATCCATTCTCTCTGATAAGTGCTCTAGGGTCCTGCTGGACACTGAGGCCGCCACTCAGGTCCCTCATGGCTTCTTTTCTTTCCTCCATCATCTCCTGCAGAGCCCTGGAGGTCAGTCCACAGGCCTCCTTCTCCTCCTGTAGCCACCCCTATGCTAAGGCACACAGAAGGGCCTCCCCAGATTCATTGCATCCCATCCCACCCTGGGGGGACTCGGGTGTCCCTGTGGGTCCTGCTTGGCCTTGGCTGCCTCTCTTGTTCTTTCCTTGAGCACCTCCCACCCGCGGCCCCTTTCCCAGAGAGAGGAGTTGAGGAGGAAGAAGGGGGAAGAGCAGAAGTCAAAAGGAGCCTTGTCTTAGGCTATATGGGGCCCCTACTATGTGCCACGGGTCGACTAGGGCTTGAACCCCATCTCATTCCCATCACTCTGTTGTGGATACAGTCTCAAAGAGGTGAGGTCCTTGCCTGAAGTGACCCAGCAGTTCGAATCCCCATCTGTTTGGCTCCAAAGTTCTTACTTTTCCTACTACTCTGTAAACCCTAGGGCTGGCCTGTCCTTCCAGGTAGGGTTCTTCCGGTGGGCCTAGGAAGTGGGATGCATCCCCTAAGCCTTCCCTCCACTGATGCAGCAGCAGCTGCCAGAGGGCCTTCTGAAGCTCAAACCTGACCCTGTTCCTTCCCTATGCCCAACCCTCCTTTTGATGCCTCACCATCCCTCTTGAAATAAAATTCATAGCCACCACATCCTCCCTGCCTGCCCGACCCCTGCCCACCAGCCCTCATCACCTACTTCCTTCCTCTCCCTGCATGTGGTCCAGTGACACTGACGTGCCTGTTCCAAAAACATACCACCTCCATTTCCACCGCAGGGCCTGGGCACATCCTGTTCCCTCCATCTGGAAGTTCTTTCCCCAGATCTTGAAAGGGCTCCAGGTTTCTGCTCAAATGTCACCTCCTACTAGAGCCCCAGGGTCAGTCGGTCACCCCCTGGCCCTAACTTGTTGCCCCTGCATTGTTCTTAATCACTCCCTGATGTTACAGTTGATACTTGTTTGTGTATTTGCTCGTGTTATGGCCCGCTATGATGTCAGTGAACTGAGGACAGGGACTTTGTCACAATTTCTACCTTATTCTCAGCGTCTAGAAGAGCTGGTGCACTTTATGTGATCCTTTAACGTGTGCTGAACGAATGAGTGAACAACAGCTGGAGGGGAAAATGGAGCAATGTTCATATTCGCAGCTCTCGGAAGTCCCCGTGAGGGAAAGGGAGGGATAGCTCTCATCTGCAGGGGTGAGTCTGCCAGAGGGCAGTGGAGTCTAACCCCAGAAGGTGTGTTTGGGGCGAGGTGGGGCTAGGCAATGTCTCGGGGTGAGCCCTCCCTCATGCCCCTGTTTCTTCCAACACAACACCCTCCTTGATGGACCCCTAGAATTCCTTCCGGGGCCAGATGGTGGTGCAGTGATGCACCTTGACCACATGGGAACGGTCCTGGGTTCACATCCGAGGACCACGCCCTGCTCGCCAGGCTCACGCGCATGTGTGCCTGCAGTCCGGGTCAGCTGAGGGTGGGTCTCAGAGTGAAGACCTCGTTAGGAGTGGTATTCTCTCACTTTCTCTCACTTTGTGAAAAGTGGGGCTAGGCCCTGGTGTAGTGGTAAATTGTGATGCTCTGCGAGGCTGACCTACATGGGAAGGTTCTGGATTCACATCTGGATTCACCTCCCTGAGTACTCCAGGCATGTGCATGGCCATGATCCAGGGCTGGCTGAGCCTGGGGATGGATCATGGTGTCAAGGCCCTATTGGAGGTGACTGTGTCTCTGTTTCTCTGTTACTCATGGAAGAAATAAAAAAGCAAAACAAAACAAAGCAAGTGGGGGACCAGCAGTTAGCGTAATGGCTATGTCGCTGGACTCCCACGTAGTCGACCGCGGTTCGAGTCCCGGACCCGGTGGCTTAAACTCACGCCGGGCGCGTGTGCGTGCGTGCCCAAGATCCCGAGAGGAGAATGGAGGAGAAGGGATTGCGGCGTGGCCAAAAAAGCAAGGGGCTGGCAGGTGGCATGGGGGATAAAGGCGCTGGATTCCCACATGGCCGACTATGGTTTGAGTTCTGAACCTGGCAACTTGCTTTCTCACTTTCCCTTTCTCTCTTTCTCTGGTCAAATTAAAAAAAAAAAAGGAATAATAATAATGGAGTTAATTAATTAATTAATTAAAACAAAACAGAAACTCCTCTTTATTCTACAAAACCCTTCAGGACACTGTTATTTCTCCTGGATAGCAATTACTTTTTTTATGGGTGGGCTTTTCCTTGGAGAACTTGGAAGTGGGGCTGACTCATTCCCCAGGAGGAGGGGTTTGGAGTGTCGACAAGAGTTGAAGACTAGTGACTGTTACTGAGATTTTATTCCTGGATCTGCCTGCCATGTTGAAAGGCTTTGAGACCCCTGCCCGGAAGAGGGCGAGGGGCACTTCAGAGAGCCCCAAGGGGAACAGAAGAACAGGCCCTGCCCTCGGGGTACGAAGATGAAAACTTATTTTGTTTTATGGAGGAGGAAGGGATGTGGCGATGGGGACAAAACCTGGTTGGCAGGCTTTCTGCCATGTGGGCTCTGGCCTGTGGCTCAGTCTTGGTCCCAGGCCTGGGTGATGCCTGGAGGTGTTCACTGGTGTCATCGTTTTAGTGATGAGCAATTATGAGCACTTATTCTGTGTTAGCCAAATGTCCAAGCACTTCATGGGCATTAACATTACTAGGACATGAGAAAACGGAGTCCCAAAAGAGGCCAAGAGCCACATTGAAGGTCACATACCTGAGAGTGGTGAAGTCAGGATTCAAACAACTGTGGAGAGACACCGGGGACCCCACTCAAGTCTCCAGAATGTAAGGCTGGACTCGGGCATCTAGCAAATGCTCAATAGATAGTTTAGGTGAATGAATTCGACAAATTCACGCCTGTCCAGAAAGCTCTCTCCCTTCCGGGCACGTGTGCGTGCGTGCCCAAGATGCCGAGAGGAGAATGGAGGAGAAGGGATTGTGGTGTGGCCATCCTGGACCTCAGCCTGGGGGTGATTTCACGCTTTCTGTTTCTCTGTTTCTCTCCATCTTTCTGGTGATCACATGCGCCCTATAGCCAAAACCTCTACAAACAAACAAAAAACACCACCACTACCAACACCAAAACAACCAGAAAGCTCTCTTCCATCTGCCTCAGTGCCCACAATTCCATCATTAAGAAACAGTGTAGGGCCAGCTGGTGGTGTGCTGGTTAAGGCAGCGAAATCCCACATGGCTGACTGAGTGGCCTGAGTCCTGGACCCGGCAGCTTGAAAAACACTGAGCATGTGCGTGTGCATGTCCAGAATCGCAAGAGGAGAGTAGAGGAGAAGGGATTGTAGTGTGGCCATCCCCCTGAGGAGCGATTTCTCATCCCTCCACCACCAGCTCTCTCAGGTGACAGCACATGTGCCCTATAGCAAAAACTGAAACAAACAAACAAAACAAACAAAAAACCCACGACAGTTATACTTCCAGTGTCTTCACCTCTTCACCAACACTACCCAGCACACTTCCGATCCTTCAAGGGAAATATCTTCAGCCCATTTTACTGAGTAGAAGGCTGAGGCTAAGAGCAAAGCAGGAACCAAAACCCAGATCTGATCGCCCTGGTCTGGGCTGCCTGCATAGCCTGCTGCCTTTTTAAGATGCAAGCACCGAGCCTGGCCTCGGTGGTGTAGGCGGTGGTGTGCTGAACTACAGTGCTGGAAGCCACGTGGCTGACCTCAGGTTCAGATCCCCAGTCAACCTGAAAACCCACCAGGTGCTTGCATGCCCAAGATCCTGACAAGCTAGAGGGCTGGGGGAAGAGGATCACAGTATGACCCTGTCAAGGGTGCCCTACCCCTCTTTCTTGTGTGCACACTCGTGAAATAAAAATAAGCTTAAAAAAAAAAATGAGAACCCCTAGGAAGAGTAGCACATCAGTCATCATTGTCATTTACATCAGCTGGCCGCTCTCAGCTGCTGGTGGTCACAGTTCTGAGCTAATGGGAATTGGCGGGGGTGGTGAACAGGGGCGAGAGGACAGGACGTGGGGGTTGGGAGAAGGCTGGGTGGGGGGGTGCCAGGAGCCCCCCTCCCCCGCCCCCGTGTGAAAAAGGAAGTGGGTGGAGCTTGGAAGACAGACTTTTAACACTTCCTTGTTTTTCCTGCAGCCTCTGCAGCTTGAAGGGGAAGAGCCAGCTCTGCCCTGGAAATGCCACACACCCTTGGGTGTCTTCTTTCTGGAGCTTCTGGTGCCCACAGTGCTGTGTGCTTGGTCAGCCTCCTGATGTTGTACTCCGGGCACTCTACCTGCAGCCCCCTCCCCTACACTGAGTCTTTGTGCAGCCCTCCATGAGGAGCAGGTGGAGTCAGACTTCGATGACGTTCTCTGGACCTTCCCCGCAAGACACAGAGGTGGCCCAAGTGCAATCTCAGGCCATCTGTGTGTCCACAACCCTGGTTGGGTCAGGACCCCAGATGCTCAGGTCAGATGGAGGCTCTCCCTCCTGCCTCCTCCCCTCCATCTCCAGCTGCCTGCAGGGACCTCCTTGTATTCTAAGGAAGAAAGAGAACATCTGTGCACGGAGCCCCTGCTGTGTCCCGGGGCCCCACACACTCTCATTCAGTCCTCACTCCCGCAGGTGAGCTTGTCCAGGGTCACCCAGCAAGGACATGGAGGAGCCGCACTTGAACCCAGGCTCAGCAGCTCCCACCTCTCCTGCCAGCTTGCTGAGGGACGGCCTGCCCCAGCCTCACTGCCTACAGAGGGTTGGAGACTGGTGGAGGTGCTTGGCCAGTCCGGAGGCCTCTCCGACCTCAGCTCCTGCTTGGGGCTCTTGGAAGCCTCCCTTCTCTGCGGGGACTTTTAGTTTGGTGTACTCACGTCCAGCTGGAGGACAAGAGAGGGAGGTCAGATTAAGCCCAGGGAAGCCCTCCCTGCTCTCTCTCCAGCAGAACAAAGGCACAGGGGACACTGTCAGCGGGACCCGAGGAGGACAGAACCCAGCAGGACATTATCAGCTGTGGCTTGAGTTGGGAGGGACTGGGGCAAGGGACGCTCACAGCAAACTGTCTGGGACTTTTGACTCCTTCCTTCCACTTCCCCCAAGGCCTCCTTCCAGGCCCCAGAGACGCTGGGGTTTTCAACAACGACCTCCTCCATGGCTGCCCACCTCTCTGACTGGCTGGCTCCTCCGTGTCCCTCCAGCTCCTCTGCTGCCCAGGCAGAACTGGGATTTCCTGGTCCCTCACGTGGGGCCTGTGCTGGGGGCTTCCTCTGGTGGGGCAGGGCCAGGGGTTTCTCCTTCAGAGGTGGCAGGCCTGGCTATGTTCTCAGGGGCCCTTGGGGTGGGATCTGAGGAGGGGGCAGGGGAGACTTCATCACAGGGGCTGGGAGCAGGTCTGGGGGTCTGAGCCTCAATGTCTGACTGTGATTGGACCACAGCATCCGATGGTGCCTGGGCCAGGGGGTTCCCCTGAGGCTGGGCCATGGCATCTGACAGTGGTGGACCTGTGGGGTTCCCCTGAGGCTGGGCCATGGAATCTGATGGTGGCTGGGCCTCCGCCATTGGCCCCGGCAGAGTCAGACCCTCAGAGTCCACTTGGGTCCGTGGCTGAGCCAGAGCGAAGCTGCTGGGCCGTTCCTCACAGAGGGCTGCGGCAAAGGAGGCGAGCACCGAGTGCAGCAGGGCCCGGATGTCTGCGCTGGCCATGAGGCAGAGGAAGGGGCTGAGGCAGCTGTTGAGCAGGATCAGGTAGTCCGAGTAGACCAGGGCCTCCCAGAGCAGGTAGCCAGGGTAGATGTCCCACAGGAAGGCCAGGTAGAGCAGCTGCGCCAGCTGATAGGGCAGCCGCAGGACCACATAGGCTGACAGGATGGTCTTGGCCACACGGGCGAAGCCGTGGCAGGCTGTG